GTGTTCTGCAATTTATTGTTTAATAATACAACAGAAAAAAACCTTGGAGTTTTCTCTTGCCTGTGCTGGTTTATCTGAATTTCCACATCAGCGGGCTTATCCAGTGCAGGGATGCTGCTGTCAGTCAGCTGGGGTTCATCCTCAAGTGGTGCTGAAGATACACACATCCTCCATATGCTACTGTCCTACACACACAAACACACATGCACACACGCATGCACACACACACATGTTTAAAACTTTGGTCATTCATTAAATTGAGGTGGATTAGAAGACAGAGATTAAAAACTAGTCTCAGATTCAATACAGACAAATTGAAATATGTTTCTTTGTACAGGTCTAAGATAGTCAGAACATTTTTTGTCCTGAATAAATCATCTGAATTTCCTGTCTGAGGGTTAACAATAATTTGAAACAAAAACAACAAGATGGACTGAAAGTTTTTCTCAGTTTAAATGTTTTTTTTTTTCCTGTCCACATTGCAGTATCCATGTAAAGCCACCAGGTGGCAGAACATTCACTTTCAAGTACAAAGTAAGAACAGTCAGATCTTCACCCAAGATTCTTCAAAATATTTTTACTTTATTATAGTCTTAACCATTTCAGCATATGATCAAATTTTTATGACGAGGATTAAGATGAAGATAAACTGACACAGAAACACCAGTTTCAGAGCAGCTTAAATGTTTTACTTTCTGTGACACAAAGCGATAGAGGCCAGGTGTGAAAGGGGCTGAAACCGCTAACAACCCAATCCACACGGATCCACACTAGCAGTTCTTAAAATACTCACATTTTTCATTAAAAATAAAATTTATTTTAAAACAGGATGTTCAAATGTAGTAAAGTTGCATTCGGGCCTAAAAAATCCGACCCGGCCCCAGCCTGTAGCCATTTTTTCCGAACCCGACCCGATCATTTAACTGTAATTACTAACCTGAAACCCCCCTTCCCCACAAAACCCCCTTTTTTTTATTAAGCTTTTACTGCTTTTGTAAGCAAGTCAATTTGACAAGGTATTTTAAAAACATATTTCAGAGAAAGGAAGATATAAGATTTCTTGTTTATTAACAAATCATCAAATGGATATTACCATACAAAATGAACAGCCTAAAAAGATCATTTCTAAAGATAGGCTATTATACAGAAGAACAAAAACATTTTTAGAGCAACATTTTTTGGAAAAATATAGAACAAGGCTATTTTAATTGAAAGAACTGCTCACTTCGGCTTTTGCTGATGCTGCTACTTCTTTCACCTCAGATGACAGCAGGGTGCGGAGACACACACAACCGGTGATCAGCTGATCCATCTGAAGCTTAAATGGACATGTTTTACCTCTTTCAATCGGACGGAGCATCCTTACCAGATGCCTGAACTACCTAAACAGTCTCCTCTGGACATGCAGGGACAGCCTTTCTACTCCGAGTCCCTCCCAGATAACTGAACTTCTCACCCTATCTCTAAGGAAGAGTCCAACTATTCTGCGTAGGAAACCCATTTCAACCGCCTATATCTACAGTCTCGTTCTTTTGGTCGCTACCCAGAGTTTGTGGCTATAGGTGAGGGTAGGAATGTAGACCGACCAGTAAACAGACAACTTCGCCTTACAGCCTGGCTCCCTCTTCACCTCAACAGACTGGCACAGAATCTGCAATGCTGCAGATGCTGCACCAATCCATCTGTCAATCTCACGCCATTCTTTCCCCACTCATGAACAAAACCCCAAGATACTTGAACTCCCTCACTTGAGGCAGAACCTCACTCTCAACCTAAAAAGAGAAATCCATTATTTTCTGACTGAGGACCATGGCCTCAGAGTTGGAGGTGCTGCTTGCTGCTTCTCATCCCAGCCCCTTCATACTCAGCTGTGAACTGTCCCAGTGAAAGCTGAAGGTCGCAGCACAATGACACCAACAGGACCGCATCATCTGCAAAGAGCAGAGATAGAATCCTGAGACAAAGTGTCCCTTGCCAGACATGGGTTACTGTGGCCCCACCCTAGAGTCAGGCCTGGGGGAGGAGCTCATCTGCGAGCACCTAGTGACTGGGTCTATTGCCATGGGGCCTGGTCGGTCTCAGCCCAAATGAGCAACATGGGTTTGCCTTGCTGTGGCACCACCAACTGCAGAAGTGTCCATACATGTCAGGTGCATGATGCCATGGGCAGTGGCTGAAGACGGGGCCTTGGTGCTTTGACCCTGGCTTACCAAAGGTGGCTCTTAGAACATGGAACCTCTCTGGCAGCGAAAGAGCCTGAGCTTGTGTGTGAGGTTGAAAAGTACCGACTAGATATAGTTGGACTCATCTCAGTGTACAACATGGGCACTGGTACCAATCTCTTTGTAAGAGACTGGTAAGAGAGCTGTTCATGGTGAAAAGGGCAGAGTTGGTGTGGATCTACTGAGCCCCTCGTCTTGGTACCTTTGTGTTGGAAATTCCCCCGGTAGATGAAAGGATAGCTTTCCCTGTGCCTTGAGCGGGGGGACAGATTTTGATGGTTGTTTGTAGCTATGCACTAAGTGATAGTTCAAAGTATGTGACCTTTTTGAAGTCCTTAGTGGAGGTGCTAGACGGTACTCCAGCTGGGGACTCCTTTATTGTGCTAAGGAACTGCAATGCAATGTAATGACAGTATGATCTGGAGGGTCATGATTGGGAGGAACTGCATCTCTGATCTGAACCCGAGCAGTGTTCTGATGTTGGACTTCTGTGCTAGTCATGGTTTGTACATCACAAACACCATATTCAACCATAAGGGTGTCCATAAGTGCATATGGCACTAGAACACCCTAGGTTGTAGACCAATGATTGACTTTTCAGTTGTGCCATCTGATTTTCAGCCATTTGTTTTGGACACTCTGGTGAAGAAAGGAGCTGAGCTGTCAACTGATCACCACCTGGTAGTGAGTTAAATCAGATGGCAGGGAAAAATGTCAGACAGACATGCCAAAGTGTAGTGAAGGTTTTCTATGAACACCTGGCAGAAGAACCCTTCAGAAATATATCCAAGTGACACCTCTGGGAGAGCTATAACCGCATCCCAGCTGAGGCAGGGAACACTGAGTCTGAGTGGTCCATATTCCACACCTCAGTTGTTGAGGTGGTTCTTCTCAGTGACCGTCCTCAAACTTGGTGGTGGACACCCCAGGTTAGGGAGGCTGTCAAGCTGAAGAAGTAGTCCTATCAGGCCTTGTTGGCTGGTAGGATGTTGGAGGAAGCTGAAGAATACCGGAGGGTCAAGTAGGTTGCAGCCTTGGCTGTTGTTGACACAAAAGCTTGAATGGGGGAGGAGTTCAGTGATGCCTTGGCCTGGATAGAGATTCTTGATTGGTTCTGAAGAGATTCTGGCAAAACATCAAGTGGCTGAGGAAAGAAAAGCAGTAATTTACTAATACTGTGTTCAGTGAAGGTGGGGTGCTGTTGACCTCAAACACTGATGTCATCA